GCTGGTGATTTTGATCTCAAAGACGCTCCTCGGTCAGAGAGGCCTATCGAGGTTGATGACGACAAAATAAAGGCATTGATCGAGTCAAACCCACGTTACACGATACGAGAGATTGCAGATATATTGAACATCCATCATTCAAGCGTTCACGACCATCTGAAGAAGTTAGGATACGTAAGCAAGCTCGATATCTAGGTTCCTTATGAACTCAAAGAAATTCACTTGACGGCGCGTATAAACATCTGCGATATGCTCATTAAACGTGAGGAAAACAATCCTTTTTTGAAGCGACTGATAACTGGTGATGAGAAGTGGATTGTTTACAACAATGTGGTGCGCAAACGGTCTTGGTCCCGACGTGATGATTTGTCTCAATCGACATCGAAAGTAAACATTCATCAGAGGAAGGTTATGCTCTCAGTGTGGTGGGATTTTAAAGATATCGTGTTTTTTGAGCTCCTACCAAGTAACCAAACAATCAATTCGAATGTGTACGCAATTGGACGAATGTGTCGGTAATTGGATAGTTTAAACAAATCCAAAAACGTCCAGAGCTCGTTAATCGTAAAGGAGTTGTGTTCCATCACGACAACGCGAGACTACACACAAGTTTGATCACCCGTCAAAAATTATTGGAGCTTGGATGGGATGTGTTGCCACGCCCACCATACTCACCTGACCTTACGCCGTCAGACTTCCACTTGTTTCGCTCTCTTCAAAACTCCTTGCGTGGTATAACGTTCAATTCAGATGAGGTTGTAAATCAGTACCTTATTCAATTTTTCGCCAATAAAGACAGGTCCTTCTATGAACAAGGAATTATGAAGCTCACTGAAAGATGACAAAAGGTTATCGAACAAAACGGGCAATATATCATTGATTGACCTTTGTTCTTTATATAAATAAATGACCTCTGAAAACATAGAAAAAATACATCACGACTTTTTTGACAACCCAATACAATGTGGTCACAAAATATATGTGTTGTTAGGCTTATACGTACCCAATAAGCAAGAAACTGATATTAACTTATATTAATATTTGGGAACGTTAATTTTATATATGTTAATAACTTTAAATTATATAAATATTTCAAAAACTTATTAATATATATATTAAATAATTTTTTTGAAATATTTATTTAATTTAAAATCATTAAAGACATAAATTTATATATATATATATATATATATATATATATATATATATATATATATATATATATATATA